CCTGGCCCGGGCAGAGGGCGGGGGGCGGGGGCGGACTCCGTGCCCAGCGCCCCGGAACTCGCCATGCACACCCGTTCTTTCTCATTGAAAATACCGCAAGGCCCCTGAACTGTCATCCTCGTCTCCGAGTTACGGACGAGGAACCTAAGTCACAGAGAACTTGAATGGGCGGCCCAAGGTCACTTGTGTGACTCCGTCTTCCTCTGAGGTCACTTCGCCCGCTACTTGCTTGGCGGCAACGGCTTTGTGTTACAGTGAAGCAGATAGGATAGTTGCACAGCATTGCGAGTTTGGTTAAATGGTGAAGTTTATGCTGTTAATTTTATTTCCATTATTTCATTAAAAGTTTTAAATGTGCTGCAGGGAAGAGATGGGGAAGGTTTGGTGCCAGTTTCTCAGGTAGACCCTTTTGGTCACTTATCAAATGGGTATGTGATGCCACCCTTCTTTTGTTTAAATCCTCACCTGATGATGTGTTCATTGATTTTTAGGGAGGGAGAGAAAGAAATATCGATGTGGGAAACATCCATTGGTTGCCTCCTATAGGTGACCCGACCGGGACTCCAACTGCACCCTTTGGGGGTACGGGGACCGCGCCCGCCTCCCGAGCCACCGGCCAGGGCTGGCGTCACCCTGCTGGGCCGTCTGGTTTAAAAGGGTTTGTTGGAAACTAGAAACAGGAGGGCAGAATCTGTTGTGATGCAGAAAAGAGGATGGGGACTCCGTTGTCTCATATGTGCTCACTGCTTTTTCTCTCACTTTTGATTTTTAAAGCATTTGTCGCGTTTTATCTTGTCTACACATGGGGGACTGAGGAGTTTGAGAAATCCAGGAGGAAGAATCCAGCCACCTATGAAAATGACCAATGAGCAGCTCATCTGGAGGATGGTTCCCGGTCTCTGAAAGACCCTTCTCTGGGAGAGGAGTCTGCATTGTGTAGTGTCTTGAAGACACAATAAACTTCTTATGGGCTGCCATGTTGTGATTTTGCATTTTTGTGAGCAGAGTCCTTGGTGTGACTTGCTAATCTTCAAGTTAATGAACTCCCTTCCCCAGAAGAGCCCTGAACCGTTTGGGCTAGTCTGGGAATTTGGTGAAGGAGTAGGGCTCACCCCTTGTTCTACAGTATAATCTACAAGAAAGTAGCTGCAGCTACTCTTGCAGGCCGGCCAGCTGTGGGTGGCATGGACTGTGGGGAATGTTGGTTCCCCTCCCTCTGATCCTCTAACAATAATAAAACCTAACTATGTTGTAATTTCTATGTGTCAGGCACTCTTCTTAGTCCTTTACACAAATGAGCTTTTAAACCTCACAACTACCTTTGAAATATTATTACACTCATTTTGCAGATGAGGACACAGGCACAGGGAGGGTTAACAATTTGGCCCAAATTATATAGATAGTGAAATGGTGGAGTCTGGCACTATAGTTTATGTTCTTAAAGTGACACTGTACTGCCTTTTCTCCTAAGGCAGGCCTTCCTTAGTAGCCTGAGGGGAAGTCAGCTATAAAAGGAGGGGTGAGGTGACCCCTTGACCTCTAGAGCTGGGGCAACACCCTGGCTATTTGTACCAGATTGCTAACAGTGGTTATTAACCATATATGCCCCATAAAGCCTAAAATATTTACTCTCTGGCCTTTTATGGAAAAAGTTTACTCCTGGAGCCTTTGAATATATATTTTGGTAGAAAAGTTTTATTTTTTTTAACAAAATGTACTAAATATATTCATCACTGGGGCTACAACAAATATGACACCACAGCTAAAGATGGAGTCCTATACAGAAATAAGTCAAGGACAGAAAATCTGAGGAAAAAGGAAAAAGCACAGGTCTTGGCCAGGTAGCTCAATTGGTTAGAGCAGTGGTTCTCAACCTGTGGGTGGCGACCCCTTTGGGGGTCGAATGACCCTTTCACAGGGGTCGCCTAAGACCATTGGAAAACACGTATATAATTACATATTGTTTTTGTGATTAATCACTGCTTTATGTTCAATTTGTAACAAAATACATCCTGCATATCAGATATTTACATTACGATTCATAACAGCAAAATTACAGTTATGAAGTAGCAACGAAAATAATTTTATGGTTGGGGGTCGCCACAACATGAGGAACTGTATTAAAGCGTCAAGGCATTAGGAAGGTTGAGAACCACTGGGTTAGAGCAAGCATGTCAAACTCAGGCTAACACGGGCCAAATAAGGTTTATGTGGGCTGCAAAAAAACAAGCTTCAATTTTCATAGAAATGTAGGTTTATTTTGATAGAGACATGCTGAATACAAAGGGCTGAAATAAATGAGTAATCATTAACAAAATAATAGCACATTTTAATAAAAATATATATATTTTTAAGATATCTGTATTGATTTCAGAGAGGAAGGGAGAGGGAGATAGAAACATCAATGATGAGAGAGAATCATGGATCAGCTGCCTCCTGCACGCCCCACACTGGAGATCAAGCCCACAACCCAGGCACGTGCCCTTGACCGGAATTGAATCCAGGACCCTTCAGTCCACAGGCCGACACTCTATCCACTGAGCCAAACCGGCCAGGGCAAAATATTTTTTCTTGAACATTAACTTAGCAGACATTGAATAACTGCACAAATTAATAAGCATAACGCAAATAAACCTATTTTGTTCTCCGAAAGCAAAGTATTTCCTGTTGTGGACACCAAACAAGTCAGTACAAGACTAATGATGTGGCAGTTGGCTGCTAAAACATTCCCAGCTAGTATTAGTGAAGAAAAATGGTGTGCCTGTGCATAAGGTGCATAAGGGAAATGAATGCAACATGATTATACTAATCAGTCATTAGCAAACGTAGCTCATTAATAATTATGTATAACAGGATGTTGTAAAAATTAAGCTATGAGGTTTTTATTAAAATGTTTCTTGCATACCATTATATTGGCTGGGCCGCAAAAATATTCATTGTGGGCCACATGCAGCCTGCAGGCTGTGAGTTTGACATGCTTGGCTTAGCAGGGGTGGGCAAACTTTTTGGCTCGAGGGCCACAATGGGTTCTTAAACTGGACCGGAGGGCCGGAACAAAAGCATGGATGGAGTGTTTGTGTGAACTAATATAAATTCAAAGTAAACATCATTACATAAAAGGGTACGGTCTTTTTTTTTTTTTAGTTTTATTCATTTCAAATGGGCCGGATCTGGCCCGCGGGCTGTAGTTTGCCCACGGCTGGCTTAGAGCATCCTCCCGATATGTCAGGGTTGTGGGTTCTATCCTCGGTCAGGGCACATACAAGAATCAACCAATGAATGCATGAATAAGTGGAATAATATGAATGTTTCTCCCTCTCTAAAATCAATAAAATATTTACAATAATGTTTATTTTAGAAAGCACAAGGAGAGAGACTGGACAGCAAGCTCAGGGCTCTTGACTGGAGTCCTGCTTTGCATAGGTTTCTTGCAGGTACTTACAGGCTGTGAGGTTCTTGGCCATATGTGTGTTCAACAGGCTGTCCATGTTGGGTTCTCCTAGCAGGCCCTGGACGGGGAGCAGGATGGGCCTGATGTCGTACAGGGCAGACCACAGATCCTTCGGGATGTGCAGGCAGATGTTACCCGGGGTGTCCGCATCAGCGTGGTAGCAGGGGTAGGAACTTTGCCACGGGTGTGTTGGAAGGGTGGCCACTGGGGAGCTCTAGGGAGAGCTGGGACCTCATGTCTTCATAGAGAGTGCCAGCTGCTCCATGGATGGTCCTCACCCATTTGAAAAGGTGGTCTGATTCAGGGAAGGCAGAAATTCCTTTGTTGCCAGACATCGTGGGGTCATCAGCTCCTGTAACCTCCACACCATGCACCTCTTTCCCACAGGGCCCTCCTCTGGGCTCACTCCTTCACCCGCAGCCGCGAAACTGGCGGCAGCTGGATTGCGGTTCTGGGAAGCTCTGGGAGGGACACAGGAACTCGGAGAACACCACTGTAACTCAAAAAGGTACCTTTTTCCTTCCGACAGCAGTTAGTGTGGTAAGGGTTGGCAGTTTTATGCTTATGCTTCCCTGCTCCGCTTCTAGAAATTTCCCAAGTACACCTGTTGCTGGTCCAGAACGGCAACTTTCACTGTAGTTCAGCTTCTGTCTCAGGCTGCATCTTTCCTTCTTATTCTCATGATTGTTCTTGCCTTTTAGGAACCAAAGTTAAAATACTTCCAAACCTAAAAATAAAAAATTGGTACGGTAAGCTGCATTCATTGTGAGGCAGGATAAGG